GATTTATGTGAAATGATTGACCCATGGACTTGGTACACAACTTTTATCCTGAAAATTCTGTTCCATCCTCACTTGTGCTGAATTCTTGGCTTCCTTTTGCCATGTCTTTCCTGCTGTGTTTATTTTTTAATTTGGGGGTAGCTACCTCTTCAGCAGCTTTTGAGAAGAGGTTAAAAATAAAACTAAGACTTATCACATAATTTTAAGGCCGACATAATTTCCCATCCACATTTTGAAGTCATATTTGCCTGCCATCTTCTCTGCACTGTTACTTTTGAGAAATCTGATACCATTGATTCCCAACTCCTAATGCATAATCTCTTTTTCTCTTTCTCTGATTACATTTAGAACCATTTGCTTGTCTCCTAATTCTGGAAATTCACAACGATATTTCTTACGTGGTCAATTTTTCTTTCTGGTACCATTGCATCCTCATGAGTTCCCTTCAATCTGAAGACTTGAATCATTTGTTCTGGGACACACGCTAAAATTGTTTTCTTTGAAAAATTTCTTCTCTTAATGTTCTCTGAGGGCTGGGCATGGTGACTCATGCCTGTAATCCCAGCACTTTGGGAGGCCGAGGCAGGCGGATCACCTGAGGTCGGGAGTTTGAGACCAGCCTGACCAACATGGAGAAAGTAAGAATAAAAAAATTAGCCTGGCGTGGTGGCACATGCCTGGAATCCCAGCTACTCAGGAGGCTGAGGTAGGAGAATCACTTGAACCCAGGAGATGGAAGTTGCAGTGAGCCCAGGTCGCGCCATTGCACTCCAGCCTGGGCAACAAGAGTGAAACCCCATCTAAAAAAAACAAAAAACAAAAAAACAACAACAAAAAACCTGTTCTCTGAAATGCTTCTGATACATGATCCCCTCCAAGGTACCGGTGAGTTTTCAAGTTGCAAGCAATTCTCTGGAGTTTATTGTTTCCTCTGCTATCTTTTCCAAAAAGGTAATTCTAGAATAGTAGAAATCTGAAGCCAGAAAGAGAGGAAGTTTTCTTCCATCCAGTAGGAAACTGTACCGCAAATACCATTTGACTTGAACGTTCTGGAGGCAGAAAATTTACCACAGAGGATCCCATTCAGACACGTTCGCCTCCGTGAAGCCCTAGGTGACATATCCACCATCTCCTGAGCCACCAAGAAAGGAAGGGAGGGAGAAAGGGAGGGAGGGAGGGAGGGGAAAAAAAAAGGAAAGGAGGGGAAGGGAGAGAAGGAGGAGGGAAGGAAAGGAAAGGATAATGAGAAGGGAAGGGAGGGAAAGGAAATTAGTGAGCCTCTACTTGGTATTCATACGCCTACCAATGATATTGTGGCCATGATAGAACTTTAACTTTAGAACTATTATCTTTGTCTACAGGAGTTTCTCCCACAAAATTGTAAGCTTTAGCAGCAGAGGTAGAATATATAATTTAGGTTTATATTCCTAATGTTTAGCCAAGTTTCTGCCACTCACTGGGTACTGAATAAATGCTTGATGAATAGTGACTATGATCTAACTACTGTTAGTTCTGCAGACTGCACACTTGATATCAGCCAGTGGTACTTCATCTGCACCTTGCTCTCTCAGGCTATAGAATCAGCAGTAGTAATTATTATCAAGTTCTTCTTTTCTAAGAACAATTGACAGGGCAAATTATAAGCTGGTCTTCTATTTCAGAGGCAAGCGCAAAATAGAGCATGATCGTTTGATATCAAATATAGATCAGTGATTCTCAAACTAGAATGTCTCCAATTGTTAAATAGGGTAACATTTAATTTGCTTAATTGATGATGATGATGATGATGATTATTATTATTATTATTATTATTTTGCTCTATCACCCAGGCAAGAGTGCAGTGGTGCGATCATGGCTTACTGCAGCCTTGACCTCTTGGGCTCAAGCAATCCTCCCACCTCAGCCTCCCAAGTTGCTGGGTCTAAAGGTGCATGCTACCACTCCCGGCTAATGTTTGTATTTTTTGTAGACACATCATCTCCCTGTGTTACCCAGGCTGGTCTGAAACTCCTGGCTCAAGTGATCTGCACACCTCAGCCTCCCAAAGTGCTGGGATTATAGGTGTGAGCCATCGTGCCTAGTAATTTTGTTTAATTTTAATGTGTATATTGTATGCCATAAAATTCTTATGTTAAGCCTTGGTGTTACAAAATTAATGCAAACAATGAATTCAAAATCATACACTAATATCTCAAATTTGGAAATTTCACAAGTATTTTCCAGAATCACTGCATCATTAGAAGTACATACAGTCTCTTGTAATGTTAATGTCACGGTGCTTGAACACATGAATTTAAGAAGTGAAAAATCCCCATGGAAATTCACTTCATAAAACCAACATCCTGAAATGACCTACAGTTTTCCAGATCCTCTATCCAAATCCTCAGCAACTGAGCTCATTCTGAATGAAACTGCATGAATAGGATTACAAAAGAAATGTAATAGAAATCTGAAAAATAAGTAGTCAGTTTTTTGAAATGTAATTTTAAATAAGGCAGCCCAGTGAGGAGGCTCATAGGGGACGTCAGTCTTTTACGCAGACTTCTCTCTCTTACGGGATACATTATAATCAATTCAGATGATTTAGGAAATAAGACCTATAAACTCAGATATGATTGACAATAATCTAATGCTCCTATTTATTAATAATCTGTTTTGTCTTTAAATCATAGAGGCAGATTTAACTATAAATCTTACAAACCAAAATTTAAATAGAAACTGTAGATAGGAGAGCGTGCAGACATTCATTTTTTTAAAAAAAACTATCAGACCACATGATATGGAATGAATGAGGATGCCAAATATAATAATGATGGTTATGATAATTGAGAAATTGTATATCTTAAAAATAGAAGTGTACACTTACAGAAATGATTTGGAAATGTTCAAAGCACCTAGATTAGAAATGAAGACAGGAAGAGTTAGTGCTTTATTGGATTTATCTTATTTATAATTTCTCTTTGCAGTTAGATTGTCTCAGAACTTGTTGAACTATCTTCCTTTGATTTGATAGAAATACTTACTTGTCAAGGTTGAGTGACAGAAATTAATGAATATTATTGTCAAGTCTTAAAGGCAAAATTTTTGTGTAATTCTCTTTCCTAAAAAGTTAATAAAACTAACTTTCTGCTTAGTAAAAGAAATGAAACAAGAATTCAGGCTCAACTTAAAATAAAAATGTGGTTTAGGAGTGACATCGTAATACCACTTGGCATTTCTTAAGTGAGCCTGCTCTTTCTACACTGGATAAAAATAAAGAGAGAAAAGCATCTAAAACCCTATGACATCCCAAATGTGCCCATGAAAGCAGAAAATTTCTGGCTTGCATCTATGCGTTCTTTCCACTTTCCGTAGCCTCCCACGTTATAATGACTTATGCATGGAATTCAGAGACTTTATATTTTCTTTTGAGTGCAGAGGGAACGTCAACATGGAAAATGTGAAGGCTGACCACTTTTCAAGATGGCCACAGACCTTTGAGGGAACCAAATAGTATCCAAAAAGATACGTGGTTAGTCTGGGATACTAAAATTCTAGCAAATGTCAATTTCACCAGTTTTTACAGGGTGGAAATATTTACCTCTCAGGCACATGTTTAGTCAGAATAGCTCGAAATTTTTGTTGGGGAGTCAAGGCCCTTTACAATAGAATAAAGAGATCCAAAATCAGCACAGCAGTTAATCTTGTTTATAGCATAAATCAATAACTCAACCCATGTTGTGTACTGACAGTTCTTCTGTGGAATAAAAACTAAAAGTGTCTGCTCTGTGAATGGGATTTTTCTTTTACAGTCCAATAATATAGTTTCATTGTGGGGCAAAATTTGGGTTAGTCATTTTTATAAGGTTGAGTTTCCACTGGTACTATTTCTTTCCTTTAACTAAGGGTTTGAAGAATTCAAGGCAAAAGGTTGGATACCTGGTATGTGTTTGTATTCTGAGCTTGTCTTATGCATGATTTTCTTGTTTGCTTAAATTTTATGGCCAAATTCTAACAGAAATATGCAAACTAAACTTCTTACAAGCCAAACAGAATGAGACTGAAGTTTCTGAAGAATAGTCCCAATTGTCCTATAGTCATATCTTCCTTTATGTTCACTTGAATTCTTGCATAAAATATTTAGAGTTTACACATAGTAAAGTTATGTGGGAAGAAGGGATGAAGGTAGAATCTCATGATTCCATGAAGACAATGAAGTTTGTTGACTATCTCAGTCTGGGTCTTAGAAGCAGGACCCAGTTTGAAGCTAGGCTCACTTCCTACATGTATAACTTTAGTAAATTATTTAATTTCTCTTAAGCTTCAACAATACCAGCTTGCAAGCTAGTAGTAGCAGTAATAGGATGCATGTATAGATGGATCTGTCCTAAGGCATTGTAAATGGTCTGCGTTATGCTTTCTAATCAATGCATTGTGTGTTAATATGTGATAAACTGGATTATTCCATGTTTCTTAGTCACTCCCAGGAGTAACTACATACAGGTCATTTGGGTTCGGTGTTAGCTCTTTCACACACTAATACATTACACATGCTGTCTCTATAGCTCAAGTTTTGCATGAACAGTTCCCTGGTGGCTTTTGCTGTGATTCAAACCAAACAGTGAATAGATTTATTTAACAACTTGTGTTCACAAAAGTAAATCAGGAAAGCATGCAAGCTAGAACAACATGTTTCTTCCAGTGATTTTTATTAAGTATTGCATTTCACATATTTTCTTAATGGAGTTTTAAATGTTCAGTATTTATATCTTTATTCATTAGTGGACCAATCCAATTGCCTTTAAAAGTGTTGCTGATGATTTTTATCAGAAATATTCAATGTAAAATTTCTTACTAATATTAGGCTGCTTCTTAAAGAAATAATGTTATTAAAGCTAATAAACAGAAGCTTTATAAAATCTCTTAATTTTGATAGCATAGATTAAGTCTTCTCTTTTCTAAGATGTATTTTGACTTTAGAAATTTATCTGTGACTATATATATTTTTTAATTTTTAATAGGTGGTGAAATGACAGAACTCATTCCTTTCTTTGATTGGTGATTTTGAAATAATCTTTCATCAAGTTTCATCTCCTTTACCCTCATATGGAATATATCTCTATGTCTGTTGTTAAACTACGATGACATGTCTGTAGCTATCAGAAAGAGAAGCTGGGAAGAACATGTGACCCACTGGATGGGACAGCCTTTTAATTCTGATGATTATAACACAGCATGTCATCATGGACTTGTAGCTGACAGCTTGCAGGCAAGTATGGAAAAAGATGCAACTCTAAATGTGGACCGCAAAGAAAAGTGTGTTTCACTACCTGATTGCTGTCATGGATCAGAGCTGAGAGATTTTCCTGGGAGGCCAATGGGTCACCTGTCAAAGGATGTGGATGAAAATGACAGCCATGAAGGTGAAGATCAGTTTCTTTCCCTGGAAGCCAGCACAGAAACACTAGTGCATGTTTCTGATGAGGATACCAATTCTGATTTATGCCTTACAGATGATAAACAGGTTTTGAATACCCACGGGCATAAAACATCAGGGCAACATATGATCGAAGGAGCAGGCTCCTTAGAAAAGGCACTGCCCATCATAAAAAGTAACCAAGTTTCTTTTAACTCCTGGGGAATGGCTGATAAAACTGAATTAGCACTGGTAAAAGAAAGTGGGGAGAGAAAAGTTGCTGACTCTATAAATAAAAGCCTGGAGCTTTGCAATGAAATAGTTTTAAGTGAAATAAAAGATGCACCCAAAGTAAATGTAGTTGATACTTTGAATGTGAAAGATATTGCACCTGAGAAACAATTGCTTAATTCTGCTGTAATTGCTCAGCAACGAAGGAAACCTGACTTCCCTAAAGATGAAAATGAAAGAAGCACCTGCAATGTAGTACAAGATGAGTTCTTGGATATTCCTTGTACAAACAGAGGACTGCCATTATTAAAAACAGATTTTGGAAGCTGCCTTCTGCAGCCTCCTTCCTGTCTAAATGGAATGTCAGCTGAAAATGGCCGGGAGAAGAGTGGTTTTTCACAACATCAAAACAAAAGTCCACCAAAGGTCAAGGCAGAAGATGGCATGCAGTGTTTACACTTAAAGGAGACCCTGGCCACCCAGGAACCCACAGATAACCAAGTCAGACTTCGTAAGAGAAAGGTAAGACGTATGCACAGATTCTCTGGCTTTTGAAATTTTGTAAATATCCTTGGATTCATCAGTTATCATTTTGCTTGGATTAAAAACATATGAAGGTGGTTCTTTTGCCCTGTCATGCAGATGCATAATTCAAAGACTACCCACTTGGTCAAACCATCAAAATATGTAAAAATTAAAGAGCAATAATCTATCCATTTCACTAATAATATGTATAATGGTTTATGAATAATCTATTTCAGAATTGCGTTGAAAACAGGATTGGTATCCCTTTCTTTAGTTGGAATTAAATAGCCACCAGATAGCTCATAAACATGCAGTTCAAGGCATTCTGTAGAGTGATTTCTGATTTTTATAAAGAAAGTCATGGTACTGTTATAGCATTTATTTGGGCATATTTCTTTTTCTCTTCAAAAAAAGTATGTTTTCATAAGAAAAAAAAGTGGTATAAATCACATATTTAAAATAATCCCTTTACATATACAAAGGCAAAACTACTCCCACCCCCAAAATGCGCTGATGCCATTTTAAGTGATACCCTGGCATACTCACCATCAATAGATATATCACAGTCTCCGTTTCTTGACACAACTGTGACTTAACTGTTGACCAGAAAGGGCTAATAACCAAAATTATGTTTTATGTTACAGCCCCTTTGAGTAATTCTAAAAATGCCATCCTCCCCTGCGAAGCTTCCAAGTGAGAGAAGTAAGGGCTCAGATGGTGCTACCTGAATTATGGTTTAGCAAGTGAACCCTTGACCAAAACCTGTCTTTTCTACAGAATTTCCCCACATTTCTCCAAAAACCGTAGTGAGTTATAGTCCTGATATAAGTCCAAGTACAGTTGCTTCTTCTATAAACCCCACATGGCCATTGGCATTGAAGAAAGCTTACAGTTTTGACACTGATATGCACCGATTAAAACATATATCCTTGCCCCTCTCTTGAGATATTCATCCATAACTGCAGTTCTCCTAAACACAAAACTAATGTTCTTTGTTCTGTTCAACTGGGGCTATCTACCATGAGAAAAAAATCTCCTACTTTCTTTGTAGTGAAGAAATCTGGTTTTCATAGACTGTGGTTTTGCTAACAAACTAGTTCAGTAATGTGTCGTGAGTTAGTTTAAATGAAGTCAAAGACTTTACAGCAAAAATCAGTGTCCACAAGCTATATGCCAACAGAGCATTTTGTGCTTCTGGCAGACTCTCCTTTCCTTACATAAGTTTTATGAAAATGTTAATGCTCCATAAAGTTGTTATGATTAAAATGATTAGGTCACTCTTTCAAAAACTTTCATATATCCTATCAAATCTGTTTGAGGGGATGCTCTAATCCCATTAGACAGTATTAACTGACCTATGGCATAGCTCCCCTAAAATAAAACAAACTCCGCCCAACTGCCAATGGAAACATTAAACATTCCAGAAACATATACTCACCACTTGAACATTTATATCAATACTAAGAATGCTGGAAAGAATTTACTCTTGGACGTGTCACTATAGCATGGTTGCCTTTTGAGAGTTATAATTATATCTCATTTACAAGTTCGAATTTAAATATTCTATTTTAAGCATTCTGTCATGCTAAAGTGTTGTGACATTGTCTGATGGAATATTTACTTTAACTCTACAACCCGTTTAGGTTGCCTTCTAATAAATAGATTAAATGAAAAATTTTAGGTTGGGAATTTACCCTAGAAAACTACGGTTATGGGAGAAGTCCTTAGAACTAAAATGTATAAGAATTTTTGTTTTATGCATTCTTGGATGAGTGTTAAAATACTGTGGAATTGGCAATTCGTCATTTTTAGAAATTTACCAGAAGAAACAATAGAGAATATTCATAGAAAGATACATACAGAGGTGTTCATCATTATACTGCATGTTACTGAAAGAAAAACGAAACAGTCTACATTTGCATCAATAAAGAATTTGTTTAGGCTGGGCGCGGTGGCTCACGCCTGTAATCCCAGCATTTTGGGAGGCGGAGGCAGGTGGATCACGAGGTCAGGAGATAGAGACCATCCTGGCTAACACGGTGAAACCCTGTCTCTACTAAAAATACAAAAAATTAGCCAGGTGTGGTGGCAGGTGCCTTTAGTCCCAGCTACTCAGGAGGCTGAGGCAGGAGAATGGCCTGAACCCCGGAGGCGGAGCTTGCAGTGAGCCCCACTGCACTCCAGCCTGGGTGACAGAGCAAGACTCCATCTCAAAAAAAGAAAAAAAAGAAAGAAAAGAAATGGTCTAAGAATTTGTTTATTATTTATCTTGTATGGAATACTGTGCTGCCATTAAAAAGATGGAGTGAGATCCAAGCACACTAACTTAAAGAGGTTCGTGATATAGTATATCTGAAAAACAACAGTAGGAGACTAATATGTATAGATAGCCAAACCTTAATGTCAAAATGTGTGTGTGTGTGTGTGCATGTGGGTGTGTGTGTGTATATATATGTGTGTGTGAATGCAGACAGTAGTACAAACCTCTCTGTATGACTGAATAATATGTGAAATCCTGGCTAAATAGGCACAAAATTGTTAACAGCAATTACATTGGATGAGTGGAATTAAAAGAGCAGAGGGAGGGGTTTTCATTTTTTACCCCATATAATTTTTATAAAAGATCACAGAATTATATATGAAATGCATACACTGAACAGAAACACACCAAAAAATAATATTTGATGTATAAACTGAGGCATTTTCTGCATGGCACAAAACAACCTTTTATTTGCATTATTACTATGATTCTTACTGCTTTTATAAATTATAAACAAATATTTATAAAGTTTTTCACACTATTGACAAGAGTTCTAATCAACTAGCTGATGTCTAATACTAGTGCAACTAGTTTAGAAGAGATAAGTTTTTTGGAGGCACACGTGTGCCACATTTTCATGTCTGTAGGGAATGTGATGCCAAATGGTCAAGTGGTAGAAACAAGTCTGCTAATTGTCTATATATTTAAAACTGTCAGCCATAGTAATACCTGTAAGATAAGAACTTGGAAAAGTGAAATCGTATAAAGGCTAATATCATTTTAGTTATGGAATTGTAATCAGCTCATTATCTGATAATCACGTGAGTGAATCAAATCCTTCAATAAATTTGTGCACATCGATTTCTTTTGTCAAGATAACATCAAGGTCCTAAGACTTGAAGAAAAAAAATAAAAGAGCTTATAAGGGTGATCTTCAAAATGTATTGAAATAGTGCTCTAGAGATATCATTGTGCTTTTGATATAAATTATCATTTCTTGAAACCCACAAATCTTGGCAGGCATTCATCATTTTCCAAAGCTTAGTGTTACTTAGTTTCTGATGATATTTCTGACTATCAGAGTTTAGTCACACATATATTTATTAGGAGTCTCAGTTGGAGGGGATTACATTTGTAGTATATGTACTACAAGTATATACCTATGTTTGTAGTATATATGTAGTATACAGGGGATTACAAATATTGACCTTTTAAGCCAATAATTCCTCTAAATAGGATGAAATATATAATGAAATTGCAGCCACTGATATCAAAGGAAGACCAAATGAATTGTGAGCAAATGTTAGAGAATGTGCCATGAGGTTGGGTGACATATGACCAGCACTCACAGGGCCTGGCTGGTCTCTGGGGTGAGGTGGCTGGTTAAAAGCAATTCTGAGACAAATTCCAAAGTAGTCTGGAGGAGGGAGACAGTCTAAGAAGTGGTCTCTTTAAACCAGACGAGATGTGAAGATGGAAAACATTTAGGGAAAGACTTGAGGTTAGACATTTTTTCTTAAAGAAGTGGTTTACTAATTAGAGAGAGTCCAGAATTCAGTCTTCTGTAAAGACTACTTAAACAGTTCTGAATTTTTTGAATAACCATAATAATTATATAAATATCTGAACATATGTTTATTTGCTCACATAAGAAATAATCCATATTACAAAGCAAAATAAACTCCAATAAAGATGCAAAGATAATGTGAACTATAAGAAGACACCTAATTCTACATTCCAACAAAAACCTCATATTACAACAACAAATTAAATGAATGTTAGGCTCTTAGTTTATCCCTCAGGTTTGTGTGTGTTTGTTTATTTCTTGGAGATGGAGTCTTGCTTCCTCACCCAGGCTGGAGTACAGTGGTGTGATCTCCACCCACTGCAACCTCCACCTCCTAGGTTCAAACAATTCTCCTGCCTCAGCCCCCTTAGTAGCTGGGATTACAGGCATGTACCCCCACATCCGGCTAGTTTTTATATTTTTAGTAGAGATGCGGTTTCACCATGTTGGCCAGGCTGGTCTCAAACTCCTGACCTCAGGTGATCCACCTGCCTCAGCCTCTCAAAGTGCTGGGATTACAGGTGTGAGCCACTGTGCCTGACCTGTATCTCAGTATTAATTAGGCTATAGATTTGTCTGCTCTCTCTGAAAACATAATAGTGGTTCAAGTGGCATATTTCTCTCACACACATACAATAGGGATAAGAAGTTCTGAACCAATATATAGGCTCTATGCCTTGAGAATCCACACCCCTTTTATCTACCCTCTCTGCTGTCTTGAGTCCTCATCTATATTCAAGTCAGTGGGAAGGCAAAAGGGTACAGGGGTGATCACACCCGTGTATACAGGCAGTGCCCAAGTCATGGGCTTCACTGCAATTTCATGGGCTAGAATTTAGTTTCATAGGCACACCTAGCAATAAGGGAACTGACCATTGGAATCCGCATTCTGGACAAGCAGATTATGTTCGCTAAAAGTTCTATTATGTTCGCTAAAAGTTTTATTATCAAAGAAGTATGGGACAATTATATTGAGAGATAACTCATAACATAAATATTGAGGAATAATGCTCTAATATAAATATATTCCAATATATCGTGACATGTTGTGAAAGAAATAACCAAGCTGCATATATGTTCTGTGGTATTCTGTATAAATACTAGGTGCTTTAATTTCACACAACAGAATACCTTTCCTCATTATGAAACTATTTGATATATTAAGTGATG